CGAGCCCGTTGTACTACATTAACAAAGGCACGAGGGGTCGGTTGCACTCGATTGGGAAACCGATCCGCATAAACATGTGCCATTTTTTATTTCGTTTGAGCCACGCAACAGACACCACTATTCACTCACGCGTTACCGACTGACACTGACTGTATACAACTGAATAAAATAATTGTAAAAACATCGTTCCAAATTCTTTCGCTTTTTTGTTTCCGATGCGATGAACCGATAAGGCGGATTATATCCGTTGTTGCCAAACACGAGCACATAATATTATTATTGAGACAGGGCGGTACTCAAACTTCCAAAGGGCTATAACTTTGTTACTTTAATTTTACCAGAAAAATGGTAAAGGAAAAAACATTTCTTTTGATCAGATCTACTCACTGTTAAAATAACTGACTCAACTTCGAAGTCACCCTGTATAGATAATATAAGGATCTCACTGAACTAACTCAATGTTTGCGGGTTTGAGTTCTAGTCTATAATTCATATGATAAATGACGAAATTCGAATGATACATTTATTGTATTATAGCTATTATTTGGATCCGATTCTAAAAATATTTATCAGTTTTTTACACATACGTAATAGTTAATCGATTTGAATTCAGTAATTATACGTTTTGTAGGCACATCTAAAATATTAATTACCTACGAACTGAAATAATCACAATTATCCTCATAACCATTCAGGCTATTAATTTAATATGCAAATTAAGCTGATATTATTGTGATACATCAACGTTTATGTACATCACGCGAATGATTTATACAGAGTGTTGCGATAAACTCTCACGGTTCGTCTTTAGGTCAGGAAATTTAAAAACTGGTGATTCTTGCCGTGATAAGCATGACAATAAAACTATATTAATATGCTAATATGGGACGGATATCCAACATAATTATGGATTTAGTAACATCTCCTCTGTAAAGCTTGTCAGCCATTTCATGTATGCACTACCATACCTGCTTGCTGTCAAACTAAAAATTCTTTTTGTGTTACTTACTTAAGTGTCTCATTTTGAAATTACTTTGTCTATATATGCTCAACTTCCTCACGCACATTTTCCAGTATTTTCCATTTCTTATTATATCCACTCATAAGCGAGGAAATTAATTAAATAGGGTAGTTCTTCGGATTTGAGATTGTTGGAATTCCTACAATTGTAGGACGCCTTTGTGGCCTCCTTGATTTTCATAGTCTTCTATCCTTCAGAAAGGCTGGTGTATTCTAGATTTCTACTTTTCTAATTCAGCGTCAGCGCTCTAGTAGTTATGCTTTTTTTTAATTGTAGGAAATTTCAAGCTGATAAAACAGAGGATGAAAATTAGAAGCATGAGCGATTTGTTGCCTATAGATATTTGTAACATAACCTCAAAATAGGGCGCCTTTCTGAAGGACAGGAAAAACTGAAAATCAAGTAGACCGTAAAGGCGTTCTACAATTGTAGGAGCGACTGACGCTACGGCCCTTAGAGCTTCTCGGATGACATGGAGCCTTCGGACTTCCAGAGTAAATGTCCATTAAAAACAAGAAAAAAAAAACCGAACGGATGAGATTTTATTGGGTTGCGTTTGAAATACTGTATATTAAAAAGTTTTCCTTATCTTATTCATTAAAAAAAAAAATTTCATATATTAATATTTAGGTTTATAATTTGAGGGCCACGCTATATATTTTGAGATACACGAAATCTAAAAACTATTTTTAGAAAACTAGTCTATTTATGTACAGAATATTCTCCTCCAGCAGCAATGCACTTTTGTAGCCTCAGCTTCCACAAATGAAATGCTTCTAACCAGTCGGTTTTTGGAATGCCTTCAACAAACTGATTAGTTGCTTGATCGCTTTCCTCTTCGGACGAACATTTTCGACCACGCAGATCTTTTTTCAAATTCTTGAAGAGCCAGAAGTCACACATTGCCAAATCTGGTGAATAAGGTGGATGTTCTAGCATTCTGACGTGGGGCTGGCGTAAGAAGTCTACACTTCGTTGGACAATATGGCTAAAGGCATTGTCGTGGATTGGATGATCATGCAAAATGGTGTGCACTGTTGCGGATCCTACCCCAAGAGTTGCCTCTATAGTCGCATATGTGCAGCGCGAATCTTCTTCAATTAGCCGCTGAACTTTAGCCCTCTTTTAAATTCGGCATACCAGCGAAACATACTTGCCCGGGATGGAGTTATATACATTGATGTTCAGTTAAATTGACTTTAAAGTCATAGTAAATCATAGCGCGATAACCGTCTCGAAACAACTCCATGTTTCGTTTTAAATTTGTTTACCCCACGTGCACTGTAAGATACTTGCAAATGAACTGAATTTCTCTTTAATTACTAGAGTGATCTATATTAAGCTGTTTAAATCGACGGTAGACTTCAGGCGACTAAATCTGTATTGGTTAACTAGGCGCAGCTGTAGTTTCTCTGTCAGTGTGATCAAAATATTTTTTTCTGTATGCATACAAGTAATTGCAACTCCTAGAATTAAATAGACATGAGATGGAATACCCAGGGTTCGCTCTAGATTTATTCGTCAGGAGATGAGAATATCAACAAAACCCGCAGTTTATTTACTATACAAAGACTGAAATATACGAGTATTTGACTTCATATTGATCAAAATCTGCGAGTTATAATGTTTTTTCATGAGCTTCAATATATAAACCAGAGCATCTAGGAACATTTTACACGTTATTTCTATGAGTTCGCCCACCTCCCCCATTCAGTTAATTTTTATAGCTACAGATTCTGAAATTGCTCATCAACAGATGAGAGAAAATGTTTTCATACCTACAAAAAAACCAGTAGCATGCTGAGAATTTGAAATACTTGGTTAAATTTGATAGTATCCCTCCCCCCTGTGAAAATTCACTTGGATAATCATTACAAATTGATTCCCTTAATACCTACCCCCGATTCACATGGTTTCGTCTAGATTACTAAAATAACTTAAGAGAAACTAAAAATATGAATATTAGAAGAAATGAACTTGAACACATTGCGTCTCAGTAAGGAATGGTATATTATAAATCTAAATGATCGTATACACAGGAAATGCAATTTGAAAGAAATAAAAACAGTTGACAATTAAAACGCGCGAAGAATTAGTACATTTATTGTTATACAGTATTTTAAGCCGCATTTCAGTAAAAACCTCAAAAATGCATGCAGAGGAGCCAGACTCACAGGTTTGAACCTGAGAGCACTCCACTACTTACGGCCGAGCTGAAAAAGTAGACAGATTAACAAATATTGTGGCATCAGAATTTTTTGAAACACTCTGTACAACAGTAATAACGAAAATGTGTTTCAAAACACTTAGGCACATATAGTAGACACGCATATCTGTCAATAAGTATACTTAAAGCAATAAAATAATATTACGCATTTCATTCAAACATAATGCTTTACAGACAATCTTCATTAATGGTAATTTTGTTCAGCAGAATGGTTTCTTGGATATGACAATATACATATACTCCTCTATATTGCTATATTGCATTACGTATAACAATTTTCGAACGAGAGAATAATTTTTTATCTGTTATGCGTGATTTATTACTTTCCACGCCATATATACAGGGTGCCCCATATACAGGGTCCTCCTTAATGATATGCGAATATTTTAGGGTGTAAAACTACATGAAAAATTAATGTTAGTTTGCTTTATAAACTATTGTCCAAAAATGTTTTGTTACAAAAACTTGGGGTGTTGAAGTTTTAGGAAAAATAAGGAAATTAATAAATAGTGTCAGAACCGCTTCAGATATGTCACCGATATTTAGTACGTAGTGAAAGTGAATAAAGTCCCATATTTTTCAATGCAAAAATAATTTTTAGCTTTAACAGTGGGGTGCATACGGATATTGACTTCGATATTTTTTGCCAAATAAAAATTATTTTTGAATTCCCCGTTCAATTTAAAACAAATGACCTCTCTTGAATTGTTTCCCTTCGATGCACCATGTTTGAGTAAAAAAATAAAAACCGTTCTATTGTCTAACTTGCAAAATTATTATTAATTTAACTGGAAAAGTTAAACACATTAGGGGTAATGAAAAACAACAACTGACAACATATACATAACATTAAGATCAACGAAATGATTACAAAAATTGTTAAAAATGGCCCCCTTCACTTAGTATGCATGCTTCCGCCCTCCTTCTCATGGAATTGCGCACCTGAAGAAATTTCGGACAAATAATCAAGTGAATTTCGGACAAATCTGAACATAAAAAGGGCATGCAGAGTATCACTCCAATGAGTGATCTCTATCTAATACTAAATTGATTGTCTATGTTATCTCAAGATTATCGTGGTCCTATCACAAAGACATAAATAAGGCAAATGGTATTTTAACCTATTCAGTAGCTCATATACAATGATTTTCAAAATGGTCCACCCCCTACTTATTTTTTTATGAATTTAGAAAGCTGAAATTCGAGGTAATCAAATTGATGAGTAAATTCAATATTTTAGCGTTAAATATTTCAAAATGGAGACTGGGAGCCATTTTTGATTATTTGTTAACTGGGATGAGAGGTCGAGTGATACCCCATTTTGAAGTTCCAGATGATTACCTGAATTTGAAATTATCTTTCAAAATGACGATCCGACATTGTCAAAAATAAGAGTTTTTTTGTACCGAGTCGCTTTTAGCTCAACAATAGACAATCAAAACGGTATAGTATCTATTTCTCTTGGAAGGGTATATCCGATGTTTTAAAATATTTCGAAATAAGACAGTGAAATAAGACTCAAAATATACATAACGCAACTCATCTGTTGCATGTATCTTGCGCATAATAAAAATTCTGGTAGATTTTTGTTTGTTTGATGAAATACCTATAAAAATATACGGCGTCACCTTCATTGAATATTTCCGCTAAATTCACAATCCTTGTAGGTATTCATTTGTTAGAAATATCCACACCTCGAACCTCTCGTAGTAAGTTGTGTTATTTTAAAATTTGTTATTGTTTTTTTTTCAGGGACCCATACGCACAATTCAAGCACAAGTTTCTTCACTCGGTAAGTGCCTGCTTCAAAAGATAATGAAAAAATATTTGATTACGCATGAAAAAATAACATAATCTTAACTACTGACACTGTATTCAAGTGGTTATTATACAATCAAGGCATTCGTAATATCCACTTCACACAAACTCATCATACATTCGTTTCTAGGACAAAATCCAGGACGTATCATTGACACCTAGGTCAGTATAATTGTTGATGTTTTAGCACCAAGAATTTTTATTGATATATCCACGTGAATTGACACTAATATTGAGCATTACATTTGAAAAGAAACTTTTGCAATAAAAATAGCATAACTAGTTCATATATATGATAATTATTTATTTTTAAGTTGTGGCTGATATACAACACAACAATTTTCGTACGTTATATAATTTTCCCTAAAAGTTTGTTTATTTTTGTAAGGTTAAAAACTAATTGTTTTTCTTTTTTAAGACAATGAAATATTATTGTTTGCACATCATATTAACAAAACTGTTTTCAAGTAATATGATATTGAAATAAAAAATCAAACTAATATTGATAACAGCGCATCATTTTGTTCGGACACGGTATTAAAAAGAAAATAATAGCAGGCCATGGAAACAAAAAAGTGTTTACAATTTGACGTATTGATTTAAGAATCAATTTACTTTAAAATGTCGCGTGGTAAAGCAACAAACGGTGCAATCAGAGTCTTAATCATACAATTTTTTCATGAAGGAAAGAGTTTTCGGGACATTGCTAAACAAACAAATGTCGCTAGTTGACTTCCTAGTCCCACAACATCCCGGCTCATAAACTTGAAACATGCGAATTACCTACTGCCTTGTAAATTTTGACTACTAGAAGCATTGTCGTTATTTCCATATATTTTTTCCATTTTCATAATCATCCTGTACTTTGCAATCTGCTAGAACAGAGAGGCTGAAACCTATACAAGAACCAAGATGATTTATTTCTCATTTAAACAACAGATTGACGTAATTTCTTCTTCCGCAAGATATTTGTATACACTTGTTGAAGATGCTAACGCGCATACCATATGCAAGTAAAACTAGAAGGGAAATCGCTTGAGCATCTTGTCTTTGCCACTGTAACACTTATTGCTATGTTGTTTTTTGACAGCAGATAAATTGGAAACATATCTGATGAATTTTTACGTGGGATGCCGCATCTAATAAAAATGTTTGGTTGTTAAGTATGCGTTGTACCTGATTAATAAATATTTATGCAATATACGAGGTAGGAGGACGATCATAATTAGAAATTAGTATCTCTGATGAAAGCAGCGGCCACTGTAGTTCACATTGAGAAGTTTCTATTTTGAGAAAGTTTTGACCGAGAAATTGAGCAAATTTTGTAAAAATAGAATTTTCAACTTTATCATTTCGTAATTACTGTACCGAAGATAAAAATAATATATAACAATATAAAAAATGATAATTTTAGATTGTTATAGTTTTGGTTTTCAACATAAATAAAGGATACTTCCAAGAATACATCCTTTGTATGAATTGACGGAAGTTTTGGTATTAGGGACAATACACTTTCCAGATATTCTATTCTCGTCCACATAGTCAATAAGCATGATACGTTATTGTTATCATGTAATTTCGACTACCGTTCATTAGATTTGGTTGAAAAATATGATACATAATTTAAAAAAGTGACATCGATTTTATGACGACATTATGTAGGTGTTTCTTGACATTATATAGGTTTTTTAATAATAACACCATCATCCATAACCTCAAATTAGATTAAGGATTGAACATAGCACCGCCCTTCTCAAATCTACGGCTTACCAAACTTTTTCCGTATGTTAAGGACGAGCTCAAATTAGGTTTCTGTTTTGTATTGATAGTAACTTTTGAGGGGAATTCATTTGAACAATGTTCTATTATCGTAACTCAAAATATACTGTTGTATTTCGAATTTAGTGATATACAGCATATTTCATATATACAGGTACTTTTTAGAAGAATCTAGACTATTTATTTGAGTTCCAGTCAAGTTTTGAAGTATATCTGGTGCAACAAAAATCTGGAAATGAAAGATCAACTCAGTTTGACCTTAAAAATGCGGTGGAACCGGACATAGTAAAAAAATTGAAGGTATTAGAATTTCTAGACCGTGTTTATTTAGAGAGGTCAAAATACTTTATTTAAGGTTTTATTTCAGGACGCAAACAAAAACATAGGCTTCACTTGTGAATGAAGTTGCAGGTATCCATTCATATTCAAGGAAGATTTGATGATCTTAAATCCTCAACACTCATATTTTATTAACTGATTTCCGACATCACGGACATATAAGAGTGAAATGTTTCTATTGAGTTCGATTCAAGTCACACTCCTAAAAGATATGTAGGTGACTATATCGTATTGAATAACATTGCAATTTTGGAAGGCTCAAGTAGCTAGTGGAACTAACCTTCAACCTTTTATGAATTGTCATTATAAATAAAGTCTATTATCATTATATCAGTATTCAAGCTGCTCAGCAATCTGAGGAGTGAGTGTAACGGTGACTGTGTGTAAGAAATTCATAACTCCGACCAACACGTTATTAGTCCACGAAGCAGTATGCTATAAAATATCAAATTAAACAAAAGGCGACGTTCTTCACAAAACGATCTCTACATGTCGACATCTGGTACACCGATAGTGCAGGAGTTAAACGTTTTCTGTTCATCGACTCAGGAATACACGCTCGCACTACATCAATTTATTTACAAGAATCCAATGGAGCATCTAAACGGGTAATATTTGTGACTCGGCCATATATTTATCTCGAATATAAGATATAATTTCGACAATATCTTGGCAATATTATTTGCAATGTTGTCAGAAGAATTACAAAATCAGGCAAGATTAACTGACGAAATTGTACTAATCGCGCTAGCTTACATTGATTCCAACAATTTGCCAATCTGTCAGGAATACATGGAAATTTCAAAAAAGTATTGACAAAAAATTTCAAGTCACTGCTAAAAAACCAGCAAAAATATTTTCTTCTGTATTTTCATTCACGCGACACTGATTTCTAAACTCGTGAAAAATATGCACTTTGATACGTTAGTTAAACAATAAATTTCAAATGAAAGTATTATCAGCTTTTGACTTTTGCAGTTGCAATTTTGTGAAAAAAAAGCATTACTGTTCTGCAGCTCGGGATGGTGATTCTGTCCTGGGTGAGTGCGTATTCTATTATGAAGGATTTCATGCTAATGCTAAATCACTTTACTTTGACTAATTTACCTAAATAATTTTTTTTCAATAATCTTCACGTTTATATTGTTAGAATGTGTAAAATACTGACTATTATCCAGTATACGACATGCTCAAATGGTCAAAAGGAACATTTGACAAAGCATGATTACAGTATGGCATTAGAGTTAACGTACTCGTATGTACATATGTGCATCGTCTAAAAAATATAATATTCTTATTACACAACATAAGTAAAAATAAAATTGGAATAATACAGGTATGTCTTCCACCAGTTTTATTTCAGGTAAAATGAAATAATATTAAATTAATCCTATTAGGACTTGTTGATGAAATGTTTCATTATTAAGGTCCGGATTTTTATGTGGTATAAAACTGCAAAATATGTTTTTAATGCTGTAAAAAATAGGCGAAATATGGATTTTATATGTGGAAAAACTGAAACATAAATCTGCGAACAGAAAAAAAATAAACGCTTATATATTAATATATTATGTTTAATATAATAAAAAATATAATATATCAAATAATATTAAACTAAAAGTCAACAAAACAAAATAGGTTTTTCTGTAATGAACAGTACAGTACTAATCCAAACTAACACACACAAAAAGTTAAACGATAGGGTTGCAGTATAAAACTAATAACTGGTTAATACTATCCATGCTTAAATTATGGCGTTTGTCTGTTAATAAATTTTTAAAATCCTAAAATGAACGCTCCACATCACATGATGTAATCGGCGTAAATTTCAAGGAAGCTATGTCTGAAGGCTTCATTTTAATATCCGGATCACTTTGGTTCTGTCCTCTCAAAATGTAACAAACATTTTTTATTTGTTGGTATCCAGGATTGCGAGATAAAACACTTTCCCATTTTTTGTTTCCAATTTCTCCAGGAATAAGACTTCAATCACCTTTTCTATGATTCTGAAAGAGTCGTTTAATAACAACTGGGTAGTTTCCAGCTCCATTATTGCTTTTGCTAACATGAAAAAATGAGCTTTAATAAAGGCTAAGTGTTCTAAAATGTTTGACTCTAGTATCGATTCCTTACTGCTATAGAATCAGCGTCAAGCGAAAGAAAAATTTCTTTGATTTTTACGAAATTATCTGCATAAAACAAGGCAGCATTGAGCCATGTACCTCATCTTGTAATAACAGGCTCAGGTGGTAAGGGCAAGCCAGGAGAAATTTCTTTGTAAAATTCTACCCTTAAGGGAGCTTTTAAAAAGACCTTTTTCCGTTATTAATTAAATTATTAACATAAGGATATTCTGCACGTACTAATTCGGCTAATCTATTCAATGCATGAGCCATACAGGTGAAATGTATTAATTCCGGGTAAAATACCAGTAAAGCTTTTCCAGCCTTGATCATATAAGCGGCCCCATCAGAAAGCATCAATTTTACGTTTTCTGATTTAACTGGATTTGGTGCATATAGTAGGGTTAAACGATCATTAATAAAACGTGTAATGGTCGAGTGTTTGGTTTTTTCTAAGGCTGCAGAATTAATTAAATAAGACACTGGAGGGGTAGACTCGTTTAAAATACCAACAAGTATATTGAAAACATAACGACCACATGCATCTGTTGTTTCGTCAACTTGAATATAAATATTTGTGTTGCATAACTTTTCCCTAATATTTTCTAAACGTACCTGGAAACATTTCTTCAGATAGTTTTTGCGTAATGTGGATTCATTTGGGATATGGCGGTTACAATATTTTTCTAAAAATTTACGGAAAGCCGGTTGTTCTAATTTATTCCATGGTATGTTTGATTGTGCCATGGAGTTGCATAAATC